GAAAAGAAGTGCTTGATAAGAGAGATGAACCACTCGTGATTAACAAAGGTGTTCAGGGAGAGTGTCAAATCAAAAATCAAAGCATAGAAAGTAGCAAAAACTAGTTGGAGGCAAAAGGATGAGAATTTTTTTGTTTTTAAGTCGTCTGCTGGTTCCTGTTTTTTTTTAAAAAGACGGAGAAAGCTTATTATGAAAGTAAATTGGCAAGAAACAAACTGCAAGAGCTTCTACGGTTACGTAAAAGAAAAGAGAGTAGCGAAAGTGAGTGAGGGCCCTTTGGAGGAGATGACTTGATAATGGGCAACAGCCACATAATTTAAACTGATATTTTTCATGAGACTGCATGGTGGAAGTCACTATAAATACTCCAAAGATGTTGGATAAGCAAGGTACTAATGGGAGGAAGGGCCTTATAACAGTCTCTATCATGAGGGACTTGATAGCCTGCATCAAAGGTTTTTTATAGGGAGAGGCTACAGAGATAGTGGAGGCATTGGTCAAAATATGTCAAAACTCCCTGGATTCTAGTTGTGTTCCAGCAGATTAGTGGTTTTCTAATGTGGCATCCTTGCTCAAGAAGAGAGTAAGACATAAAACCGGAAACTATCGTTCAGTTAGTCTGACATATGTTGAGAAAATACTTGAGCCCATGACTAAGGAGGAAATAGCAGAGCATTTAGAAAACCTTAATGCAATCAAACAGTCAACATGGTTCTATGAAAGGAAAATCATGTTTGATAGATTTGCTAGAATTCATTGAGAATATAACGAGCAGACTTGATTAAAGGGGCACGAGTAGTTGTAGTCTGTTTGGATTTCCAGAGGCATTTGATAAGGTACCACATAAAAGGTTATTGCAGAAGATAGGATGCCTCCGTGTTGGTTGTAAGCATGATTCGAGGGTTGGTTCATAACCCTCTGAGTGAAGAAATTTCTTGTACTTGTGTTGAATGTCTGGGCCCTGGTTATTAGATCTGTCAGTCAGGGGAAAATGTAGGCAGACTTTCATGTTGGAGGTGGAGCTTTGCCCTGTTGGCTAGAGAAACTGCTGGAGTGACGTAACATCTCATTGTGGAGGGCCTGCCAAAATTAGGTGTTTGTAAGTAGGTTAATTGGCCAGCTTTGGCTGTCCCCTTAAATTTATGACTCTTGCTTCCCTGAAGGAACCAGCCAATCTGTGTCTGGCAGCTTTCCATTGCCTGTTAGCATCAACAGAGGGGGCAGGATGAGGATTGCTAGCTGAGTAAGATGGGGTTATCTGAAGGTTATCTCAAGCTTGACACCATCCACAACAAAACAGCCTGCTTGATTAGCAGCGTATTCACAAACATTCATCACCCCGCCACCTTAGATGGTCATTTATAAGATGCATTGCAGAAATTCACCAAGACGTATTCCAGACTGACATGCATCAGATATGTGGGAATACCACCACCTGCAATTTTCCCTCAAAGCCACTTGCCATCCTGACTTGGAAAGATATTGCCATTCCTTGAGTATTGCTAGGTCAAAATTCTAGAACTCCCTCCCGAACACCATTGTGGGAGCATCTACACTTAAAGGTCTGCAGCGGTCGTGAAGGCAGCACATTATCACCTTATCAAGGGCAATTAGGGATGGGTGAAAATGGTGGACAGACAGCAAAGCCCAAATCCCATGTATTTTTAAGAAATGAAGATGACAACAGGTTCTTATATAGCATCTTGTAATGGAATGTGCTATCATGTGGCTTTTCAGATTAAAAACATAAAGGCACAGTCATCCTATTGGACGATAGGGCTGCTCACTCATTAAGGAGCAAGATGTCTGGAGGTGGTTTAACCTGAGAGTCGTCATTTGTCAAGTGAGGGTAGAGGTTGAGAACGAGAGCCCTTCATGGTAACCTCAGCCAGTGTGGGAATTGAACCAACCTTGTTGGCTTCACTCTGCATTGCCCAGACCTCAGCCAACTGAGCTGGCCAAATCCTTTTTACTGTTGCAAAGCAATATTTGATATCAAGCTGCACATTTAGGGAAGATGGCAAAAGCACTTGCTAAGAGTGGAAGGACGGTGATAGACAGATGAGCAGTATAGGCATGACATTCTGAAACTTTGGACCTAGGCAGTTTTAAAAAGTAGTCTTTGCCAGTGGTGCAGCAATTAAAATCCTGGATGCTTGAGAAGCCAGAATTGGCAGAGTGGAATATTGATGGCTGGAGGAGTCACAGTCATACAGCATGGTTAAAGACCTTTTGGTCCAACTGGTCCACGTTGACTACCTTCCCAAACTAAATTAGTTGCACTTTCCTGCTTTGGCCCATATCCCTCCAAACCTTTTCCATTCATGTTCTTATCCAAATGTCTTTGTAATTATACCTGCATCCAACACTTCCTCTGGCAGTTCATTCCACATACGAACCATTCATCATTTTAAAAATAAAAGTTGCCCATCGTGTCTTTTTCTGAAATTTTCTCCTCTCTCCTTAAAAATATGCCCCCTAGTTTTGGACTCCCCTACACTAGGAAAAGACTCTTGCTATTCGCCTTATATATGCTCCTCATGATTTTATAAACCTCTATTAAGGTCACCCCTCAACCAGAATAGAGAAATCACTCAGGCACTCGCAGCAGATGTGCTTATCTGGGAGTCCACTTGTCTCCAGGAACTCCGATGTACACCATCTGCACTGTCGCTCCTGTCTTACCTTGTTTGATTTTTGTAATTAATTAAGTTTACAGCTTAAACATTGAAAGTTAACCTATCTCCCTCCTTGAGCTGTCACATCCTTGAGATTCTCCTTTCTGTGTTGCTGCTCCGCTGCTTATCTGAATATGTTTTTGGGATTGCTCATGTTGTGTGTCTTTCTGTCTCTTGGTTCTCTGCTGCTGTACTGTGCTCTGTTTGAATTCTTGGAGTTTATTCTTGGTGCTTCCTGTTCTGATTCCCAGCTATATATAGCAGCATAGGCATTGCCAAATGTCCTAAGATTTTTAGCAAACAAATTTGACAAAGCCACATCAGCAGACATGAGAGTCAGTAAGCTAAAACTTGGTCAAATGTTGTCAAGTTTTTGATGGAGCTTATAAAAGGAGGTGAGACGGGCAAGAGTGAGTTTTGCACCAAGTTGAGCATGTTCTTATTAAGCAATTTCAATTTTGTGTATTTTAATCAGACTAAAAGGTTTGATTAACCAGAGGTTGCAGAGCCGTGTTCTCAGTACTGCTTGAAGATGCTTCTAATAATTACATTTTAGTTGGAAATAAAATGAACTGTAGTATAAATAGCTGTTCATTGCAGGTTGCTGCAACTTTATCGAACACAAATGAGGCTCTAATGGCGGCAAAACCATGCTGGGGCTGATGTAAATTTTAAAAAAAACCTGTTATGATGCAAGATAGGCTAACTTTGTTTATTAAATTCACTTTGAGTGTGGGATATTATTTCTTAACTTTGCTTTTCCACATTCAGTCTTTTTGTGGTAACGTTTTTGCCTTTGAATTTGAAGGTCATGGTTGAAGCCCCACTTGAGACTTGAGCACATACTTTACACTAACGTTTCATTTAAGTATTGACTGAGTCCTGCCCTTTCAACGGTACTATCTTCCAATTCAACTTTAAACTTTAACATGGTCTTCTACTCAAATTAAACGTAAAATGTCCCTTAATGATGATCAAAAAACAAGAGAAGAATTCTTCTGGTCACCTGGCCAATTTTTTATAACTCAACTAATGTCACCAGAGTAGATTTCATTGTTTTTTTTTAATGAATCAAATTAGTGCAAATTGGCTCCCTTTCATAACCAACACTGACAGCCTACAAAGCATTGTTCATTGGCCGGAGTGTCCTGTGGCCATGTTCTGTGGTCATAAAAAAGTTGCATCAATGCAAGTCATCTTCTTTTCCTTCTTTCCATTCAAAACTGAAATAAATGGGAAAGACTGGCTGGTGCCTGTTGGTTTACCACTAACCTAGACAATGGGCACTGCTCCCACAGCCTGTGGCGAAGCTTAAATATTTAATTTTGTGGAAGGTTTAGCCCTACAACAGTGTTTGTGTCCAAAGTATTTTTTTTCTCGGAGAGACCGAAATTTTCTTGGCTTTGTTTAATTAACTGTAAAATGGGAAAGCAACTGTAATTTACCAAACAATGCTAAATGAAGCCAACTGTTTGTGTACTTAGTGGACTTTTTATAAGGTAGTTAAGCAAACTGCTTTTGTAAAGTAATTTAGCCTTAAAAGTATGTTATAAAAGTGTTATAATATAACATAACAACACTCTAGACCAATTTGCTCTGAATTAAATGTGCCAATCCCTAACAAAGCAGACCTCATCTGAAGTACTGCTCCTTGGGTGAAGTTCATTAACATTAGAAGGGAAGAAATGCACATTCTCCACAATGATTCTGAGGCTTAAAAGGTTAAGCCACTTAAATGTGGCATTTATTTCCTTAAGAGTAGTACATTTGGGGAGGGGTATAGAGTTGACTAATCTAATTAGGATATTTAATATTTTCTCTGAAGGGCACTTAAGAGAATGTGTGGATTTTCTAACATAAGGATTTTTAATTTATTCAAGTGTATTCATTGCGTTGTAGCAAAATTAAGTTCTTGCTTTATGTTGTGCATATAGTGTTAAAATTATAAAGTTGGGCCGCTTGGCAGGGAAATGAGGAAGCAGTTTTTCATTTGAAGGGTTATAGAAATCTGTATTTTTACCCTCAAAAATTTTGGATACTGGAGTGGTTGGAACTTTCGAGGCTGTCAACGGATATGAAATTGAAGTGCGTAAATAGAGTTGAAATCCAATTGAATGGCCTCCTTCTCTTCTGCAGTTACAGTGCTCCAGAAGTCAGAAGCTCTCAATTAATAATGGAACTGTGAGTGCAAGGCTGATCTAAAGGAAATTGTGCACTGATTCAAAGCCCACAATTGGCTTCAGTTAGAAATTTGCCTTGCATATTTTTTTTTTTTTGAACTGCATCAACCAAAAACATGTGTGCATTAGTGTGTGGTGAACACTTTATACTCATCAGCTGGTACGCTGTTTATGGCTTTATTTTAAATCATGGGCCTGTGACTTTTCAGCTGTGAGCCTGCTGTTATGGAAAGCTCCAGTTAGCGATGAATTGATCTAAATTTGTAAAATAAGAGAAGCTCTAGAATGTTTGTAATTTAGCACATGCCTAGGTGTTAGAAGTTGCAGCTCTCTGTTGGATTAAGTATTTATTGGAACATTTTAGACTTGTAGTATGAACATCGGTTCAAAATCTGGTTTATAGGACACCAAGAGATTTGTCAGTTGTCCAAAATGTCTTTAATTTTTTTTTAGTCTTTAATAGTTTATTGAAACAAATTCTTGGAATGTGGAAATGGCTGCAAGGGCTGAAATTTATTGTTCATCCCTTGTTACCCAAGAAGGTGATGGTGAGTGTTCTGGAATTACTACAACAATTTGATACAAGTCAGTGACTTGATAAGCTCCTTCAGAGTGTACTCATTTGTAAGGCTGAAATCACTTTGGGTTACACCTTGTATTGACAGCAGGTTTCGTTCCCTTAAGAACTTTATATGACTGCTTTAACTGTGATAACTTTGTATTTGAACATTTTTGCTAATTTAAATTATGGTTGTTTCCTTGTTCAGTTTCTCCTGCTTCCTGGCAGTTGTCCTAAAGTTGTAAAGTCAGAGTTTACAGCACAGGAAGAAGCCCTCTCAACTTCAGTCCCATTTTCTTGCACTTGACATGGCCTTGTATGCTGTACTGTTTTAAGTGATCGTCTAAATTATACTTAACAGTTCTGATGGTTCCCACTTCAACCATCCTTTCAGACAGTGAGTTCCAGACACCCATCAACCTGTTTTGAGTGAAGAAGTCCTCTTTAAACCTTCTGTAGACTTCCTGCCCTTTACTTTAAATGTATGCTGCCTGGTTATTGATTCCTGTGCTAAAGGCAGGTATTTTTTCCTACGAATCCTATCGATGCCCCTCAAAATTTTGCGCATCTCAATCAGGCCCACCACCCACCCCACTCATCCAGGTGCTGTAGGGAAAATGATTCCAGCCTATCTAATCTCTCCTCGTAGCTGAAACATTCCAACCCAAGCAGAATCCTGCTGAATATCTGTGGGCAGGAGTGTGGGGGTGGGGTGGTGGGGTGGTGGGAAGGAGAAGAAGCAGGGAGGGGAGGAGGAGCTGGTAAAGAGAAAGATATTTCTTAAGCTAAAAGTTCTAAGAATTTGGCCCAGCGACAGTGTAGGTGTGGTGATCTAGTCCTGAGTTAGAATGGTGTGTGGCTTGAAAGGGAAATTACTGATGCTGTCATTTCCAAAGATCGGTCCTTGTCCTGCTAGGTGACCGTGTCACAGGTTTGTAAAGTACTGTTGAAGAAGCTGAGGTGAGTTGCATCTTGCAGATGGTACACACTGTTACCACTATGCATTGGTGGTGCTGGGAGGTGGACGGGATATAAATCAAACAGGCTACTTTGTCCTGGATGATGTCCAGCTTCTTGAATGTTGTTGGAACTGTAGCTATGTAGACAAGTGAAGAGTATTCCATCACTCTCCTGACTTGTAGCTTGTAGGTATTATAGGCTTGAGGGAGTGAGGAGTGTGTTACCCCAGTTGCAAAGTTCTAGCCTCTGATTTGGTCTTGAAGCCACAGTCTTTATGACTGGTCCAGTTCACTTTCTACTCATTGATAACCCAGGAGATGTTGATAATGGAGAATTCAGTGATGGAAAGGTGATGCCCTTATGGTATTTCACTAGACTATTAATCCAGAGACCCAGGTAATGTTCTGGGGACCCAGGTTTGAATTCAGTGAAAGTCTGGGATTAAAAGTCTAATGATCATTATGCAACCATTGCTGATTGTCAGAAAAACCCATTTGGTTCACTAATGTCCTTTTGAGAAGTAAACTGGCTATCTTTACTTGGTCTGGCCTACATGTGACTCCAAACCCTCAGCAAAGTGGTTGACTCTCAACTGCCTCTGGGTAATTAAGAATGGGTAATATATGCTGCTGTAGCCAGTGACACCCAATTCTCTCACGAATGAATTTTTAAAAATGCCATTTAATGTCAAGGAGCAATAGGCAACATACCTCTTGTTGAAAATGATATTTGCCCTGCACATGTGTAGCGTGGGTGTTACTTGTAACTGGCCCAAACCTGAATGTTGCCAAAGCCTTGCTGCATATGGACATGTATAGCTTCAGTATTTGAGGTATTATGAATGATACTGAACGTTTGTCTAATCATTAAAGATTCAACAAGAGGTGGTCAGTTTTTGGGTTGTTACCTTTCTACTTTATAAATTCTGTGTCTTATACCCTCTCTTGCACTACGCCTGCGGAAGGAGCTGAGCTCCGAAAGCTTGTGTTTTCAAATAAACCGGTTTGACTATAATCTGGAGTCATGTGATTTTGAATTTGTGCAGTCAAAAGCAAACATTCCCACTTCTGATCTAATGTGATGGACTGGGCTGTGTTCACAACTTTCCGTAGTTTCTTACGGTTCTGGGCAGAGCAGTTGCTATACTAAGCCATGATGTATCTAGAAAGAATGCTTTCTATGGTGCATCTATAAAAGTTGGTGAGAGTCCTTGCGGACATGCCAAATTTCTTAAGCCTCCTGAAGAAGAAGAAGAGATGTTGTTGTGCCTTTTTGACTGTCGCATCAATGTAGCTATTCCAGGAGAGACTGTTGGTGATCATTACTCCTAGGAACTTGATGCTATTGGCCATCTCAACCTCTGCACCATTGATGTAGATAGGGATGTGCTGCCCTCCATGCTGCTTGACGTCAACGATCAGCTCTTTAGTTTTGCTGATGTTGAGGGAGAGATTATTTTTACACCACAACACCAAGCACTCTATATCTTCCTGTATTCTGTATTGTCATTGTTTGAGATCCAGCCTTCAACCGTGGTGACTTCAGTGAGTTTGCAGATGGAGTTCCGACAAAATTTGTTCAGTCATGAGTGTACAGGGAGTTAAGTAAGGGGCTGAGTACGCAACCTTGTCGCGTGCCAGTATTGAGGATTGTCATAGAGGATGTGCTGTTGCCTATCCTCCATGATTTGCAGGTCTACGGGTCAGGACGTCGAGAATCCAATTGCAGAGGGTGGAGCAGAGACCCAGGTCTTGGAGTTTGGAGATTAGTTTGTTTGGGATTATAGTGTTGAAGCTGGACCTGTAGTCAATAAGTAGAAGCCTGATGTAAGTATCCTTATTATCCAGATGTTTCAGGGGTGAGTGTAGGGCTAGGGAGTTGGCATCTGCTTTGGACCTGTTGCACCAGTAGGCAACTTGCAAGGAATTATTGCTGATATTTGTTAGAAAACTCTTCAGATTAAATTTTAGTAGTTTTCTAAATCTCCAGCATTTATGTAATATTATTTAGTTTGAAAAAGATGATTGCAGACACATTGATAGTAAATTTAACAACTTGGAATGTTGTATTTATCATCAAGTATATGCATTAATTTTAGAAAATTCGCAGAGCTGATGGTCTTGCTGAGATGTGATTCCTCAAGTGACTCCTAGAAGCTCAAAGAAATAGAAACCCTTTATACCTGAGATAACAAGGTGTAGAGCTGGATGAACAGAACAGGCCAAGCAGCATCAGAGGAGCAGGAAAGCTGACATTTCGGGCCTAGACCCTTCATCAGAAATGGGTGAGGGGAAGGGGGTTCTGAAATAAATAGGGAGAGAGGGGGAGGCGGAGAGAAGATGCATAGAGGAGAGCATAGGTGGAGAGGAGACAGACAGGTCAAAGAGGCGGGGATGGAGCCAGTAAAGGTGAGTGTAGGTGGGGAGTTAGGGAGGGGATAGGTCAGTCCAGAGAGGACGGACAGGTCAAGGGGGCGGGATGAGGTTAGTAGGTAAGAGATGGGGGTGGGGCTTGAGGTGGGAGGAAGAACAGGTTAGGGAGGCGGGGACAAGCTGGGCTGGTTTTGGGATGCGGTAGGGGGAGGGGAGATTTTGAAGCTTGTGAAGTCCACATTGATACCATTGGGCTGCAGGGTTCTCGAGCAGAATATGAAGTGTTGTTCCTGCAACCTTTGGGTGGCATCATTGTGGCACTGCAGGAGGCCCAGGATGGACATGTCGTCTGAGGAATGGGAGGGGGAATTGAAATGGTTCACGACTGGGAGGTGCAGTTGTTTATTGCGAACCGAGCGTAGGTGTTCTGCAAAGCGGTCCCCCAGCCTCCGCTTGGTTTCCCCGATGTAGAGGAGGGAACAGCGGATACAGTATACCACGTTAGCAGATGGGCAGGTGAACATCTGCTTGATGTGGAAAGTCTTCTTGGGGCCTGGGATGGGGATGGGGGTGAGGGGGGAGGTGGCACTTGCAAGGCTCTTTCCACTCTGTAGGGATTCTGTGATTGCCTACGATAAGTGAACTTTTTCACCCCTAGAACTATCCTTATAAACTTCTGTATTCGCTCCAAAGTCCTTCACATCTTTCCTAAAGTACAGGTACCAGAACTGGACTGAATAATCCAGCCAAGGGCGGATTTATAAAAGTTTAATTTAAGCTCATTTCTCCTGCATTCTATGCCCCTAAAATCCAGGATGCATTAACAATGGCTCTGTCAACTTATCTGAAATCAGGTCTATGTTTGATATCAATTGCAATCATTTGAGTTATTACTATGACAATGCGAATAATCATTTGCTCACTTTGGAACTGCTTCTTGTGCATACATACTTTCAGCATTACTCAGATTTCTACCACTGCCTATACGGAGGAGGCCCAGTGAGCAAAAGGAAACTGCAGTTAAATCTAGCAGGTATAAAGGGTCAGAGATAGTAGGAACTGCAGATGCTGGAGAATCTGAGATAACAAGGTGTAGAGCTGGATGAACACAGCAGGCCAAGCAGCATCAGAGGTGCAAGAAAGCTGACGTTTCGGGCCTCGACCCTTCTTCAGAAATGGGGGAGGGGAAGGGGGTTCTGAAATAAATAGGGAGAGAGGGGGAGGCGGATAGAGGAGAAAATAGGTGGAGAGGAGACAGACAAGTCAAAG